GGTGGAAATAGTGCTGGTTTTTATTTTGTTTGGTTGGAAACTTTATTTCCCCCCTTTTAGGTATTACAGCAAGATCACCAGCATATTGTTGAAAGAGTAAAGAAGTAAAACACAAGTAGCTGGATTCCTCTAGTTGTTATACTATGGACAAAATTAGGCTGCCAATGTACTAGCATGGATTCCAGCTCCTGCATCAGAATATTGTGATCTGCCGCAAACCCTGAAAACTGATAGGGGCTTTGCAACTTAATGCCCTGTCTGTACCAGCACAGAGTCTGCATTCCCTTGGGACTGTCTGGTTTGCATCGTATTTTTTAAAAAATGTTTGTCTGTGACGTGGGACATCTATAATCTAGCTCCCACTCAACCATGAACATTACTGTCTTTCCTTGAACCATTTGCTCTTTCTCAACTTGCTGCACTGTTGTGAAGAAAGGGTATAAAAGGGGAGCATCATGCGCTTTGTCTGCACTCATTGGAAGAAAGATAACACATAAATAAATGACAGAAGACTTTTCTAAAAAACCGTAAGAAGCAAACCCGGCAAGGCCTTCTCTCATATAGTAAGAAATAAGAATATTGGTATAATACCTTTCCTAGACAAAGTACATTTCATAATTAAAAGGAATTGAGGCCCACAGCATACAAAAACAAAACAGAATCAAGGTTATTTAAAACTGGCACATTAGTCTCCAATATTTTTAGTTGATGCTGCTAACATAATTAGCAAATACCTATTCTATAACCTTGGTATCTTATAGCATTGTTGGCTTTTGGAATCATATTGTGTTTTTATGAGAAGTTCATTTATAAAAATGTCTGAGACTAAAAAGCCATACATTTTTAGCACACTATTGTATTGTTGAAGGCTTTCATGATGTGAGTTTTCCGGGCTGTATGGCCGTGTTCCAAAAGCATTCTCCCCTGACGTTTCACCCACATCTATGGCAGGATTCTCACAGGTTGTGAGGCCTGTTGGAAACTAGGCAAGTGAGGTTTATATATCTGTGTAATGTCCAGGGTGGGAGAAAGAAATCTTGTCTGTCTGAGGCAGGGGTGAATGTTCCAGACATGAAACAATCAGGGCCAGCTAACACCTCCCAAGAAAGGATTCCCCCAGCAGGAAGCAGCCAGGCTTTGAAGCTGCAAGATAATTGGCCATCTCCAAGGACATTGCCCAGGGGATGCCCGCATGTTTTGATGTTTTACCATCCTTGTGGGAGGCTTCTCTCATGTCCCCACATGGGGAGCTGGAGCTGACAGAGGGAGCTCATCTGCACTATCCCAGATTCGAACCTTTGACCTGTCAGTCTTCAGTCCTGCTAGCACAAGGGTTTAACCCACTGCGTCACCTGAGGATGCCTGCCATAGATGTGGGCAAAATGTCAGGAGAGAATGCTTCTGGAAAATGGCCACACAGCCTGGAAAACTCACAGCAACCTACTATATTTATTCATTAGGAAGCTAGCCCCAGATTGCAGCTTCAGAGTGCTGCTGAACCAAGGTTAGTTCGGAGATTTGTTTTCAGTATGAAGCAAACCTTGCAGTCCTCTTGCACACAAATCCCCAGTTGTTTTCTCCCTGAAGCTTGCTTTGTTTCCTCAGCTACATATTGAAGGGTGGGGCTAAGACTTGGATTTTTTGCTGTTATTAAAAAACTGAAATTATAAACCCTTGAAAATTCACAAATACACAACCAAATCTGCAAAAATGGAAATCTAACTGCAAACATTTTTCTAACTGTAACTAAAGGTTTCCCCTTGACATAAAGTCTAGTCGTGTCTGACTCGGGGGGGGTGGGGTGCTCATCTCTATTTCTAAGCTGAAGAGCCACCACTGTTGTCCGTAGAGGTCTACAAGGTCATGTGTCCACCATGACTGCATGGAACACCGTTACCTTCCCACCGAAGCGGTACCTTTTGATCTACTCACATTTGCATGTTTTCAAACTGCTAGGTTGGCAGAAGCTGGGGCTAACAGCAGGAGCTCACCCCATTCCCCAGATTCAAATTGCCAACCTGTGGGTCAGATTTTAACTTTCTAATATTTCACATCAGATGCATGTAATACTTTTAATACAAAGTAAAGATAAACATTTTCTACTGACATTAAGTCTAGTCGTGTCTGACTGGGGGTTGGTGCTCATCTCCATTTCTAAGCCAAAGAGCTGGTGTTGTCCATATACGCCTCCAAGGTCATATGGCCAGCATGACTGCATGGAGCACCGTTACCTTCCCACTGAAGCAGTATATATTTATCTACTCACATTTGCATGTTTTCAAACTGCTAGGTTGGCAGAAGCTGGTGCTAACAATGGAAGCTTACCCTGCTTCCCAGATCCGTCCTTTCAGTCAGCAAGTTCAGCAGCTCAGCGGTTTAACCTGCTGCACCACCAAGGGCTCCTTTCTAATTATAGATATAATTTCAAGGCAGAGCTTTCCTGAGACCTGAAAATGATTTAAGTTTCTTGCAGAGTATAGATGATGAGAAAGGCTGGAATAGTGTAAAGGACTGAGGTCCTTTCCCTTATTTTTGCTCTAAATCTAAAACTCACTTATATGTGAAAAGGTAAAGCCATCTCATTTCTTATCAGGCAGGTCTGTTACACTCATTTCTAGTCTGAGTCTTATCCCAGCAGAAGGAAACCATGGAGGTCAATATAGTTTATGATTCTTAACCAGGGAAGCATATCTATTCATCTATCAATATTATATAGGAGCCCCCGGTGGTGCAATGGGTTAAACCCTTGTGCCGGCAGGACTGATGACTGACAGGTCAGAGGTTCAAATCCGGCGAGAGCAGGTTGAGCTTCCTCTGTCAGCTCCAGCTCCCCATGCAGGGACATGGGAGAAGCCTCCCACAAGGATGGTAAAATATCAAAAACATCCAGGCGTCCCCTGAGCAATGTCCATGCAGATGGCCAATTCTCTCACACCAGAAGTGACTTGCAGTTTCTCAAGTCGCTCCTGACATGAAAAAAATCAATATTATTGTATTTTTCTTTAAAAAATGAGAGAAACTATAGCCTTCTTAATGTTTACCACCAGATTGTAGCATCCTATGATAGTTGCGGTCAATCACATTACTCAAAATGACCTGAGGTTTTGTGATTATCAAAAGGGGACATGGTTTTTTAAAAGACCGGGAAATCCTAGGCTGGATGTTTCAAATTCTCCATCTGTCGCCCCAGACAGAAGCAGACTAAGGCTCTCCACAGGGCTGCCGCCACCATCCCATGCCAGCTGCTGCTCCATTACAGCTCAAAACCTTAGAACTTGTCTCAACCAGCAGCAGCTCTGGAGATTCTCTTGACTGAGACTGGGAGACAAAAGGAAGACCAAGGGCATATCTACACTGCAGAATTAATGCAGTTTAACACCACTTTAACTGCAAAGGTTCATTGCTATGGAATCCTTGCATTATAGTCAAGGATTCTTGGCAAACAAGGCTAAAGAGTTCCCACAGACTGGGAGATCAAGGGCATATCTACACTGCAGAATTAATAGAGTTTGACACCACTTTAACTGCAATGGTTCAATGCAATGGAATCTTTGAATTATAGTCAATGACTCCTAGCAGAGAACGATAAAGACTTACAGTTCCCATAGTACTGAGCCATGGCAGTTTTTTGTTTTTTGTTTTGGTCATGTCAGGAGCGACTTGAGAAACTGCAAGTTGCTTCTGGTATGAGAGAATTGGCTGTCTTCAAGGACATTGCCCAGGGGACATCCGGATATTTTGCTGTTTTACCATCCTTGTGGAAGGCTTCTCTCATGTCCCCGCATGAGGAACTGGAGCTGATAAAGGGAGCTCATCCGTGCTCTCCCTGGATTCGAACCTGCAATCTATCGGACTTCAGTCCTGCTGACACAGGGGTTTAACCCACTGCGCCACTGGGAGCTCCCACCATGGCAGGTAAAGTGGGTTCAAACTGCATTAATTCTACAGTGTAGATGTACCCAAAGAACAAAAGGGTGCAAAACAAACTTTCCCAAAGCCTTGTTGGTAGTCAGCTTTGGGATCCCCCAAATTTACTTTGAAGGCCGGCTTTCCATGCACAAAGTTGTCTTGGTGTTAAGAAAAGATGAGAGCAACTCTGACCATATACAGAAAACCTTCAATCTCACTCCTGTTCTGTCCAAACGCACATAAATCCCACAATAAACGGCTAGGGCTAGCAAAATACTTTTCCAACCTGGAGCAAAGGGATAAGGTTGCCACCCTTCCGCAATGCAGATGTGCCCAAAGAAAGAAAGGGTGCAAAACAAACTTTCCAAAAGCCTTGTTGCTAGTCAATTTTGGGGGGAGGGCAATTTTCTTTGGAAGCTGAGACTCTGTGCATAAAGTCGTTTTGGTGCTAAGAAAAGATGAGGGCAACTCTGACCATATGCAGAGCACCTCCAGTCTCACTCAATTTCTGCCCAAATGCACATAAATTCGGCCAGGACTGGCAAAATACCTTTCCAACCTGGAGCAAGGTGATAAGGTTGAAACTCTTCCGCAAAACTGCCTTGGTTGCATCAACATTGGAGAATTAATATTACAGACTGACATCACTGATACTGCCATGGATGTAGAGCAGGCCTGGGCAAACATGGGCCCTCCAGGGGTCTTGGACTCCAACTCCCACCATTCCTAACAGCCTCAGGCCCTTTCCTTTTCCAGCGGCTGAGGAGGAAAAGGAAGGGGCCTGAGGCTGTTAGGAATGGTGGGAGTTGGAGTCCAAAATCCCTGGAGGGCCCAAATTTGCCCAGGCCTGCTATAGAAGCCTTGGAGTTGTAGTTTTACAAGGTATTTAGCTTTCTCTTCCAAAGAGTGCTAGTGCATACCAAGCTGCAGCTCCCAGGACCCAAAGCCTTGAGTCATAGCAGGTCAAGTGATGTCAAACTGCATTCATGCTCCCGTGTGGATCAACGGGCGACCAGAAGGTCTTTGGAGAATCGCTGGGATGCTGGGGGTGGTCCAGAACTTCCTCCCCCCTGAGGATGGAGCCCACTCACCTGACATGGGCAGGAGATTCCCCAGGAAGAGGCACCAAAGGGCGGCGAGGCGGCAGAGCCTTCTGCCCTCCATGCTGGGCTGGGCAACCCGCTGGTCTCAAAGAGGAGCGAGGCTGCCAGTCGCTGCGGAGCGACCGTGACTCGCCGCTGCCACGTGGGTCCTCCACAAACACTCGGGAGGGACCAAGCGGGGAGGGAGGCCTCCCCTTTCCACGCCTCCTGAGCCACAGAGACCCCCCCCCCACTCCTCCTCCTTCTCTTGGGAATGATCACCCCGCCTCTGAGGCTCTAGCCATCCTAACCTCCTTCCAAATAAAAGTTATGGTCCTCTGTTGCCTCTGCTGGCAGGCTTCGCGTCCATCTACACCAGGCATGGGCAAACTTCAGTCCTCCAAGTGTTTTGGACTTTAGGCTGTTAGGAATTGTGGGAGTTGAAGTCCAATACACTTGGAGGACTCAAGTTTGCCCATACCTGAATTCTGCAGGAGCAGGAGCGACTTGAGAAACTGTTCCAGACATGAAACAATCAGGGCCAGCTAATACCTCCCAAGAAAAGATTTCACCCCAGCAGGAAGCAGCCAGGCTTCAAAGTAGCAAGGCCGTTAAATGGTAATCAAGCAAGCCAATTGCCTTTTTTATTTTTTATTTTTATATGAAATAAATAAATAAAAAATATATTTTTAAAAAAGCAGGCCAATTGCAACATTCACACCTGCCTCAAACAGAGAAGAGTTCTTTCTCCAACTCTGTACATTCCACAGATACATAAATTTCACTTGCCTAGGTTCCAACGGACCTCACAACCTCTGGGGTGTTTTTTTTCGTGTCAGGAGCGACTTGAGAAACTGCAAGTCGCTTCTGGTGTGAGAAATTGGCCATCTGCAAGGACGTTGCCCAGGGAACGCCCAGATGTTTTGAAGTTTTACCATCCTTGTGGGAGGCTTCTCTCATGTCCCCACATGGGGAGCTGGAGCTGATAGAGGGAGCTCATCCACGCTTTCCCCTGATTCGAACCTGCAACTTGTCAGTGTTCAATCCTGCTAGCACAAGAGTTTAACCCACTGTGCCACTGGGGGCTCCCAACCACATAATGAGGAAAGCTTGGAGAAGACAATCATGTTGAGGGAAATGGAAGGAAAAGGGAAGAAGGGCCAACCAAGGGAAAGATGGATGGATGTTATCCCTGAAGTGACTGACTTGACCTTGAAGGAGTTGGGGGTGGCCACAGCTGACAGGGAGCTCTAGCATGGGCTGGTCCATGAGGTCACAAAGAGTCAGAAGGGACTGAACGAATAAACAACAACAAATTTTTACACCAATAACAAAGATAATACCAGTAACCATGCCTTTATCCAGTGGTTCTCAATCTTCATAATGTCACAACTTCTTAGTAAAGGTAAAGGTAAAGGTTTTCCCCTGACATTAAGTCCAGTCGTGTCTGCTCTGGGGGGTGGTGCTCATCTCCATTTCTAAGACAAAGAGCTGGCGTTCTCTGTAGACACCTCCAAGGTCATGTGGCCGGTATGACTGCACGGAGCACTGTTACCTTCCCGCCAGATCGGTATCTATTGATCTACACACATTTGTATGTTATCAAACTGTTAGGTTGGCAGAAGCTGCAGCTAACAGTGGAAACTCACTCCTTTCACTGGATTCGAACCTGCGACCTTTCAACCAGCAAGTTCAGCAGCTCAGCAATTTAACCCACTGTGCCACCAGGGGCTCGACGCCTTAATGCAGTTCTTCATGTTGTGGTGACCCCCAACCTTAAAATTATTTTCGTTGCTACTATACAACTGTAATTTTGCTACTGTTATGAACCATAATGAAAATATCTGATATGCAGGATGTATTTTTATTCACTGAACCAAATTTGGCACAAATACCCTCTACATCCACATTTTAATACTGGTGGGGTTGGGGGGGGGCATTGATTTTGGTTTTGTTTTTTTTTTTGGAGTTGTAGTTGCTGGGATGTATAGCTCACCTACAATCAAAGAGCATTCCGAACTCCACCAGTGAGGGAATTGAACCAAACTTGGCACACAGAATTCCCATGACCAACAGAAAATACTAGAAGGGTTTGGTAGGCATTGACCTTAAGTTTTGGAGTTGTAGTTCACCTACATCCGGAGAGCACTGTGGAGTCAAACAATGATGGATCTGGACCAAACTTGCCATGGATACTCAATTTGCCCATATGTGAACACTGATTAAGTTTGGTGAAAATAGACCGTGACCTTTGGGAATTGTATTTGCAGGGATTTATAGTTCACCTACAATCAAAGAGCATTCTGAACCCCACCAACAACAGAATAGGGTCAAACTTCCCATACAGAAGCCCCATAACCAATGAAAAATACTGTGTTTTCTGATGGTCTTTGGTGACCCCTCTGACACCCTTTCGCGACCCCCCAGGAATCCTGACCCCCAGGTTGAGAAACACTGACTTATATTAATGTAGCAAACAAGAAGATCTCCCAACTTGCCATGCTCTTCGAAAATCTGAAAGGTGTAATGAAATGCAGGTTGGGAAAAACTGTGGTTTATCAAACCGCATGGAATACTCTTTTACAAACTATATCATGTAGAAAGACTTTAGAAATAGGGTTTTACATTTCCCTCACTCAAATATTTCTACTACCAATAACTATTTGAGGAAGATAATATACATTGCATCAGGCCAGTAGCCAGGATTTTGATTCGGGGGGCTGAGTCTGAGTGAAAGAGGGTCTACCTTAGCAAACCTTTTGTATTGTGACCCCAATACCCCCATGTATATGGGATATATTGAGTATGGCAATCAGATCATGATATGAATAAACATAACAGTTTAAATAATGCACCAGTAAGGCCTTCTTGTGGACCACCATGAGAATTTCGGGGGGGGGGGGGCTGAAGCCCCTCAAGCCCCCCCCCCCCCCGCTACATGCCTGCATTGCATAAAAACAATGCTACAGATAATAAAATCATCTACACATGAAATACACCGCATTGAAGTCTCAATTATGATGGCACTGTGTGTTAATGATTTCAGATAAGCATTGTTTTCTCCAATTTAGCACTATATAACTTGCTTGAACTAAACATGCTGTGATGTAATGCAAGGATTAATGATCTGTTCACAAGGATATGTACAGTTAGGGCAGTATAATTACATGAAGGACTGGTGATGGAGGGGAAAGGAAGGCAGGATACACAGCTTCCTGAAGTGTGGTTTTCAGGATGCCTGCCTCTCTTGGCCTTCCTGAGTGTATTTGAAGATAAATAAGAAAGCACTGTGGTGGTTGTCAAGTATTAATTTTGATCCTTTCCTCCCAGTGCCACTTTTAAACACTTTAGGAAGTAATGGAAAACTCTATGAGTTATTTGGCCTGCTGGCCTTTCTCTCTGGAGACTGGAAATAGCCCCTCTCTTTCTTTACAAGGATAAGCCAACCACAAGGATAAGCTAACCATTCCTTTTGGAAAAAATAATAATTTAGAAACCTCTGCATCCGACTTTTACATTAAAATTAGTGCTAAGGCATTCAACCAAAATACAAATAAAATAAAACTATAATTACATGTTTTAAACTCAATTAACACACACCAATCTAAATAAATAAACATGTAATGTTCGTTTGTGGGATTAACATAACTCAAAAACTACTGGGCAAATTGACACCAAATTTGGACACAATACACTTATCAGGCCAACAAGTGACCATCACTCGAAAAAAACACAGCAAAAAAGACTTAAAAAGCCAAAAAATAAAAAATGCATTGAAATGCTTGTGCAAAACCACATATATACACATATATACACACACAAAACACATATACACAGAGTGGGTCACAGCAACGCATGGCAGGGGACAGCTAGTAAAAGCATAAAATGAATACACCTCACACATTCTCGACCTCAGAAAATTCCATGAAAATTCCTCTATCCTACAGTATGAAATTATGCATTTAGAAAATTATTCTGCGACATTATTTTCCTACTTATTTTAACCAGAAATTTAAAATCTTGTAGGAGCCCCAGTGGCATCATGGGTTAAACCACTGAGCTGGTGAACTTGCTAACTGAAAGGTCGCAGGTTTGAATCCAGAGAGCAGTGTGAGCTCCCGCCGTTAGCCACAGCTTCTGCCAACCAAGTAGTTCGTAAACATGCAAATGTGAGCAGATCAATAGGTACTGCTCTGGCAGGAAGGTAACAGCACTCCATGCAGTCATGACAGCCACATGACCTTGGAGGCGTCTATGGACAAAGTCGGCTGCTCGGCTTAGAAATTGAGATGAGCACCAACGCCCAGAGTCGGACACAATTGGACTAAATGTCAGTGGAAAACCTTTACCAACTATAATACTTGCAAAATGTTTTGTCGCTGCTAACAATGTTAGGTGGAGGTAGGGTGAGATGCAGCTGAATAAAGTCCCACATTATCTGCTTTGAACTGCAATATATGTCAGTGTGGACTCAAATAACCCAGTTCAAAGCAAATATTGTGGGGTTTTCTGCCTTGATATTCTGGAAAATAGGGCTGTGTGGAAGGGCTCTCAGTTTTCTCATGTATTAACATCTTTGCACAACTGAATACAGTATTTTTTTTCTCTCCCCACAGGCTCACTTTCAGCTAAACTACCACAATATCACTTGAGACATTTTAAGCCATCAATTTACAATATATGCAGCAATAAGACCAAAGAAAACAACAATAAAAGGAGACCAGCCATAGAACAAGCAGCAGCAAATCCAGCAATAAAACAGCAAGTGCAGTGTTCCAATATAATTGACTAAAAGCTTGGGAAGATCAAATTGTGTTCACCTGGTACCTAAAAGCTAATCAAGAACAATGTTCCTGGGAAAAGGTTTAATAGTTGGACACTAACATCAATAATACCATGTCTCCAGTCATCTTTCACCTAATCTCTGAAGACAAGAGTTTGTACAGCAGGGCCTGGAGTGAAAACAAATTGACATGTTCATGTGATAGCAATGGGAAGACACACAAATATAATGGCCCCAAGCTATTTAGTACTCCATAAATCAAGACTTATGCTTTGAATTGCTTGATGTTAAAAAGTTAATTAAAAACCCAGGTGAAATATTTAAGTTTATAGCTCTAGCCAGCCAGCTATCAATATTCTGTAACAGCCTCTAAACTTGACCAAAAGACATCAATGCATGACTAGTATGC